CCCAGGCTGGGCCCATCTGGGCCCAGGCCCTGTGGGTGCCCGCGGGCTGCCTCCAAGGCTGGGCCAGCCCCGGGTGACGAGCAGAGGGGTGGTGTCAGGCAGCAGGCAGGCCTGAGCGGGGACCTGGACGGACACCTGTCTTTGTCCGCCGGGTACGATGGACCCCAGCAGGTGCAGAGGCTGCGGGACCACAGACTGCAGGACACTAAGCCAGACCATCCAAAGCAACGCCCCCCTAGGCCCCCCCCCATCCCCACGAGGACACAGGCGGCAGAGTGGGCGGGGACTCTTTATTGAGTGACCACACTTTTAACAGAGGGCAGAGCAGATGGGCCACCGGCAGCTCCCATGGCCCCGAGGGGCCTCTCCACGCAGCTCCCCTGGGGCCGGCCGTGTCCTCACGTGCCCAGGAGGAGGCCGGAGAAGCTGGAGCCACTCTGGACGGTGAGGGGCGCCCCCGAGCCATTGTCCACGAAGACGGAGGCGTACTGTCCAGCCTGCAGACACCCCACAGTGGACGTCACCACCCACAGGGCCTGCCCACCCACGGGGAGCGTGGGGAGCTCCCACCCGGGCTTGTGGCGTCCCAGGGCTCTGAGTGGCCACATGGCCCATGTCCACCCACGTGCTGAGGCTCAGAGGCACGGACCCCTCCTGACCGCCCACCCTCCGACCTCACCTGCAGCTGGAGCAGCCCCTGAACCAGCACCGTGAAGATCCTGCCACTGCCTTCCAGGCCCGAGATGGCCTCCAGCGACCTGGACACGGGGCCCAGGGTGAGGGCACAGCCGGCCCGAGGGCCCTGTCCAGCCCCCCAGTGGGAGCCGGGTTTGGAGCAGGAGGCAGCTCTGCGATGGGACCCAGGCCAGGGACTGCGATGCCAGGGCCCACCTGGGAGAACCAGCCCCACCCACACCCGCTGGCCCGCCCCGCTCACCCATGTGCAGGCTGGCCGAGAACTGGAAGATGGCGGTAACCGGGGCTGTGCTCCCATGGCCCCGAGGGGCCTCTCCACGCAGCTCCCCTGGGGCCGGCCGTGTCCTCACGTGCCCAGGAGGAGGCCGGAGAAGCTGGAGCCACTCTGGACGGTGAGGGGCGCCCCCGAGCCATTGTCCACGAAGACGGAGGCGTACTGTCCAGCCTGCAGACACCCCACAGTGGACGTCACCACCCACAGGGCCTGCCCACCCACGGGGAGCGTGGGGAGCTCCCACCCGGGCTTGTGGCGTCCCAGGGTCCTGAGTGGCCACATGGCCCATGTCCATCCACGTGCTGAGGCTCAGAGGCACGGACCCCTCCTGACCGCCCACCCTCCGACCTCACCTGCAGCTGGAGCAGCCCCTGAACCAGCACCGTGAAGATCCTGCCACTGCCTTCCAGGCCCGAGATGGCCTCCAGCGACCTGGACACGGGGCCCAGGGTGAGGGCACAGCCGGCCCGAGGGCCTGGACCCCACCCCAGGGCTCAGTCCCGTGCTGGGGGAGCCCCTCCACTCTCCACAGGCAGGACAGTCCACACTCAGGCACCCACCCAGCCTCCTGGGACCCCCGGCATCCAGGGTGGCCCGGCCGGAGGCCAGGCTCAGGCCTGAGCCCCGCAGGAAGGCGCCCTGGGCAGTGGGCTGCAGGGACAGCAGGGGAGCGTCTGGCTGCAGGGCCTGGAGGAGGCGCCTGCAACCCACAGCCCCAACCAGAGCACACCCAAGTGGGCAGGACAAGGGCACCGCCGTGCCTCTGCCTGGGCCTCTGGCCTCAGGTCCCGGGGGCGGAGGGCACCCAGGGAGAGACAAGCCCCGCTTGGCCACCTTGGGCCCCACTCACACGCCTGGTGCAGGAGGGTGGCCTGGGCACACGGGTCCCAGTCCTGACCAATGGTGGCCACTCCCCCAGGCCCCCCCTGCGTGGAAGTGGGGGCCGCCCCAGCATCCTGCCCCCAGAGGGTCCCCAGAGACACCCGGGGCTTGGGGGACCCCGGGCACCCCCCGCACACTCACAGCCTGGAAGCCCTGCAGCTCCACCAGTGTCTTCTTGTCCACCTGCACCGGGCCCTTCAGCCGGCAGTGGAAGGCCTCGGCCACCAGCTGCCGGCC